AATCTCCCACTTTCTACATTTAAGTTATAACCATCACTCCGATTGCGCAAAGTCGGACACTCATCTGGTTTTGTTGATGAGCCTATTTTGGGTTTTTGGTCTCAATGCCAGAGAGAAACAATTGTGAAACAAGAGATTCCTCGAAACCCAACTTTTCTTCGTATATAAAAGATAACCGGCCTATTTGCAAAAGTAACTAGGAGTACATCAAAGAAGCACTGAGCAAAAGTGATTAAAGAGGAGTTTCCTTTCTCGTTTTCGCAAGAGGGCGGAGTTGTCAAAGCAATTTTGAAGAATGCACAATGTCCAGTGTCCTAACGTCTGCAATAATTTCGGGCTGAGTGATTTCGCAAACGTCTTGACAGCATTTTTACCACCGGACTTTTAACATTTAATGAGTCTTTTTGGACCTTTTTTCAGTTTAATGTTGGAAATGACAAGATTGATCACAAATGCCAGTCTTACAAAGCGACACTTAAAAGAGTCCCGACAAAAAGCCGGTGGGTTTTCTTAACTCGTTAGCTTGAATTTGGTTGTGACGATGATGGTGTTCGTCATATGACGAACGAAAGCTTAGCACCTTGTCACCGGAATCGAGAAAGATTACCCCAGAAACAGCGTCTGCATGAATGTCCCAGTAAAGCCAATCGACACATGGTCGAGCAGAATCCACCGTCGTCTTCTGGTGGAATCGCCACCAAACACTTTCACTCAAAATGGAAGTAGGCTCAACGAGAATTCACCCCATCTTGTTTAAGGTGATTAAGGACTAGTAGTGGGATTTTCCCACAATGTGGATTTCCCAAAAGTTGTTCTGTTGAGAAAGCAAGACTCTGTTAAATTCAATGGAATCGTCAGCTCTACTTGTGTCATTGTCAGAAAGTTCTACTGCCAGTCCTTCATCACCTTAAACGAAATAGAGTAAATACATCTCATATTACTCGAAACTCTACTTACATACGAAAAATGACAATTGAGTAGTATCTTAATGAATAGGAAATGTAACCGAAATCTGTAAATACCATAAGCAAGCATTTTGACAATGATAGCAACTATAGCATATATGCAACACTAATGAGGAATACTTAGTTCTAGATCCTATTGTCCATACGAACACTGGTAAACATAACGAAAAGTTTGCGAGGGAGAAGAAAGAAATGTGTTTACTAGACTGCCCTGCAATGGCAGATCCTGAACGAGTTGAGGTGTGCTCTGGCGATGATTCTCGCCATTAAAATGTGAAGAGCTTGTGCCAACCATGTCATGTGAGAAGATGAGTAAATAGTAATTCTGAATGGGCATGACGACTAGATGAAACTAAATACGGAAGTAGACGATCATACAGTAGATTGGTTTCGGTTGGTGTCAGATGTCTCCTTTTCTCTCTCATGCACTCATACCTCTCCGCCGGGTTTGCCTGGATGGACTTACTGGTAACTGATTGATTCTCGTCTCTTCATGATTTCACCAAATGCCAGTGTCGTGCAGACGAAATCCATGTCCCCGGCGACACGTTCGAGTCGGAGGAGTTTGCGCTTGGACCCAGTCAATTGTCGCAAGCTTCGCTGACGCGGATCAGCGCCGTCACGGTCCGGGTAGAAGTAAGCGATCACGTCAAAGAGCATGTCAAGAGCGACTAACTTTGCGGGTAGAATAAAGGCCTGCACCACCTGAGGCAAGGAATAGCGAGTAAGACAAGTTTTAATCATGTCCTTAGTGCAGATGTACAATAACCCAAATAACATTTTTGCCACTTGCCATTAGATACTAAAAGTGATCTTTAAAACTGTTATGCCATTCTAAAAATAACTAAAATCGCATCTTTGCCTTCTTCTAGTGTAGCAATTGTGTCTGAAGCCCCAGCAACCAGTTATAAAAGTATATCAGCATTAGTATTAACTAAATATTTTCATACAAATGAACTACTCGCGAGTAGTGTTGTATACCATAAAAGTGGTGTTGTCAACACTTCATTCAAATATAGGGTCGTGATTTTTTAGCTACACCTACCTCAGTAAAATTTGATGCTCCCATTTCTTTCGTAAGTGTTGGCAATCCTGTTGAAGGGTCCACTTTGGACAATGGATCCGGAAGATTGTATGCCAAGAGCTGGAGGGCCTCATCACGATCGACGCCCAATGCGATCGGGACATCTGGCAGCGCGGATGAAGCTCGACTGAACAATAGAGAGTCTTGCCAAGCCTCATCTTGATCGTAAATTAATCTCCATGGCGGCATAGTATAGAAGATTGCTGAATCTTGATAGGGGCTGGGGCCGAATTCCTTCCAGAGTGGCTGCAGTTCGGCGAGTCGAGCCTGGGTGTCGACGTCGACGATCGCCTGAAGGCTGGCAGAGATCAGATCATTGGCAGAGGTCTGAACTTGGAGACATTCGTAGACTGCCGTGACAAAGGTGCAGTTGACCTGATTGGCTAACTGTACAGAATGAAGATGAAAAGCATTTACCGAATTTAATCATCATTTATAAATTGACATAATTTTCGTGATGCCCAATATCCACTGAGAACATGACTGATTTTGACCATAAACTTTTGACCAGTTTTCGAAAAATGTACTAACCTGTTTTTCGGCAAAAGTGAAAAAGACTCTTCAGGGAAAACTTACAAAGCTAGGCCAACCGGCATGAATCCGAAGCAAGAGAACCTTTCCAAGTTGGTATCTATCGGTTGCATCAGTCTCAAATATATTTGAACAAACAGCTTGTTTAGCAGTTTTTTTACCTTGTTTTCCCAACTTGTTCATATTGACAGGAAAGCCTTGAGGAATGCACCTTGTCCGGAGTCCATAGTCGGACCGGGGACTCGGTAAACTCCCAGACATCCTCAGTGAGTCATGCCATTCTCATAAAAACCAAGCTACAACTTTTCAAAGAGACAAGTGAAGACAATCCCTTGACCAACTTTCTGTCGAAATGGTGCTGCTATCAGTCGTCATTATATCCCTTCCATACCCTTCAGTCTCGCACTTGTCCAATCACAACTTTATGGTTGACCGAATTCACTCGGTTTCAGCCACAGTGTACTTTTATTACAGCTACTACTTTTCAAACTGTCAGTAGTATATACAAATTCGCATAATCTTCAGAGCGTCTAGGCTCCGACTCCCATGCTTGCGAGTATTGGGCATCGTCTCCTCGAGCAAGCCCGTGTAACCGGAGCCAACTGTGGACATTTGGTCGTCTGCTGCATCTCAAGCGGATTATTCGTCCATTTGCTCATTAAACCCGATTTCTGCGACCCCTCCCTCTTCTTAGTCACGCGAAACGCCGAGCTCCCAAAGTTGTAGTTGACTGCACTTCAACTTCCTGAAGATCCTTTTTTCTCTGGTTCACGATAGATCTTCGATCAGAGTGTCACTTTTTTGTTGCATCCCGCTTTTCTCTCAGTTTGATTGGACAATAGCCAATCTCGTGTTCATGACATTTTCCCCCCAAGAACGTCAAATGTCCCCACGGACTTCCGTTTCTTTGTGCTTTCACTGTATGAGGCCTTCTTTCTGTTGCCTTCCAAGTGATCTCGAGTCCAGTCTCTGCGACGTGTTCCGCTATTTCTGATCTTTCAGTATCCATTTTTTCTTGCAGAGTCTTTGATCTTCCCTGATTCGTGTGCCGGTTTTCTCGCAGTCTCGAAAATGTATTTCTGTTCACAGACGCCACATGCGGTGCAGTAAACTCGTGAGTAATCCAATTTATCTGCTCGCTCATGTCGCGTGGGTAGACTTGTGAAGAGTGTTGCTTTTTCCTTCGTGGTCGCCGGAATATTGCATGTTCTTAATCTTGGCCGTCGTTATGCAGTTAACTCGCAGGAAGGGTGACATATCCACTTTCTGAGTCTTTCTACCTTTCTTTCATAATCCTCGTCTTGCCCTCGGCTCTTCATGACCTGTATGTGTATTTGTATTACTTCTCTCGGGTATCCGTTACCAAGGCATATGCAAATCAATTTTTACACTTCTTCATCCCACACTCACACGCCCGTTAATCCGGGGCTTCTGATTATCCTACTCCTCAGTATGCCTATTTTCATTCTGTAGTTGTGATGATATGCCCATGACTTCTCTTCCGAACAATTTCCTTTTGATCGTCCAAGTGAAGGAAAATGGCCTCCACATCGAGAAAAGCCAAACTCCCCTCTTCCTCTACCTTCATTGTGAATTTGATTCTTTCATCAATCCTGTTCATAAACCACACGAAATCCTACCATTTTTCACTTTCATGCGACCACACTGCAACGTAGTCCTCCAGGTACAGCATAGGGACTCTTGGCTGCAGCGGTGACGTCTTGAAATGTCTCTTCCAATTTGTTCATGTATGCGCTAGCCAATAGAGGCAAGAGTGGGAATCCCATAGGATGTGCAAATGACTATTCATTGATGTTGTCGTTGAATGGTGAAGGAAGGACTGGTAGTTGATTTTTCCCACAATAATATGAGTTGAATTTCATATAACCTTACTTTTTCAACAGTTATTCTCATCCAGAATGGACTGCAGTTTCGACCTCGCCTGAGTCCTATCAACGCCCCCGGCGGGACTCGAACCACATCAACCGCCCTTGGCTCACAGGGAAGATGTGAACTTTAAGAAATGTAAGGCATTTCTTATATCACA